GACGGATTGATTATGGTGAGAGTGCGGTCGATGCACGCGCGCAGCACAACTCGAGTGAACGTCGCAAATTTCAAACCCCGAGTCTTCTTTGCAAGCCGTGTTCGCTGCCACATTTTCAACTGAATGAAAGTTTAACTCACTTCCAGCCACAATGATATTAAAGCTTAATATTTTTTTGGACTAATACAGTACCACTTTGTAGAAAAAAAGAACGTACAATAATTTAATTTTGATATTTAATTATATTTAAATCTGTTTCGTGATTTATATATATATATATTTCAATGTATTATAAAAAAATATACTGCATAATTTTAAGGTAATTTAAATTAATTTTATAAACCATTTAATTAAAATTTTTTATATAATTTTGATAATTTTAGATTCTCAAATGTTTAAGCTATCTCGACGTAGTGATGTCCGTGACAATGTCCGATTATTCAAAAGTTGTGGATTACGAACTTTGGTCTCAATTTTCGAAATGTCGTTCGTGTCTTCAGCACTTTTCTTTTGTACTTGTCACGATGGGAGTGTCTTATATATGAGCACGTATTGTGTTCTAGTTATAGAATTAGCGATATTAATGTTTCATCAACGGATTATTGCATTAATCTAGAACACTTTGCTTTAATTAAAATATTGTAAAAATAATAACTGATATAAAATTAAATAATATTATTAACTGATTAAATTAAAAATAAATATTATGTAAATTCAGCTTTTATACATGCAAGTAAATTCGAAACTTTACTCTTCATTAGAGGACCATTGAAGATTATTATTCATTAATAAATAATTAGTTAAAACAACCCATAATTTCATTCTTCTGTTTCCGATATAATTTATTTATATCGGTATAATTGAATTCAAAATATGAATAAATAATAAGTATAAAAAAATAAGACAAATTTGTTGTTCAACGTATTATATACCCATCTGTTAAAGTCTGAATTAGTCTCTCGTTGTGAATCATTTTATTTCAAAGTTTGAGAAACTGAAATAACTTCGGGTAACCTTTTATAAAGTAGAACACAATGCGTTGTTGGCGTGCAGAAAAAGACATCGCGCTTACGTAGCTCTGATGCATGTCTATGTAACTGTTAAAGAGCCAGTAAATGAAAAAGATATCAGTTTGCCTATTGATGCCAAATGTTGCTCATTCTCGCAACTTCCCGCAACTTGTCTCTTCAGATTTCTTTCAATTCTTTTTCCGGCCTCTGACGCCGTATGGTTAATCCATCATGATATAATATCGCATACGGTTGATTATTCTATCCCTTGAATCTTTGCGGGATTCCGCGCTATCTGTGTCAGATGTCAGCCTACCGTCGTCGTTGCCGCCAATATAACTGTAACTGCAAGATAGGTTTTTGGAGGCATCTAGCACACTTGTCCGTATTGAAATTCACAGATGAGTAAGAAAGAGAGAGAAAGAGAGAAAGAGAGAGAGACCCGAGGGTTGATATATGTATATTGGAATCCGCTGTTTTTGAAAGTCGCACGCGCGTCCGTCTATCTCATCGAATATATTGGCTCCCAGCAGACGGCTGCAATATCGCTGATTGGGTAGGCGTAAGATATTGAGCTGTAGCAAAAAGCAGCTTGCAATTTTATTTACGAGTTATTTACCAAACTCATCGTTCTTTCACAAAGATATTAATGATTCATCGAAAGTGGCCGCCTCTTCTTCAGAGTTTTTTTATTAAATTCACGATTATGTAATTAAAGACTTCATATGCATAGTCATGTGTAGTGGAATAACAATAAATTATTTAAAAAAATACTTCAAAATTTTACAGATTTTAGCGACATAATCGTGCTTTTATCTCAATTTAAAAAAAATGTGCTTTTTACTCAATTTTCTAAAAAATTTATATGTCCCAGTTTATGCGAGATATCAAAGCGTTTAAAACTATAAAAATATGCGGAATGGCACGTATAAATATATATTTTATAAAACCACTTGTTTCTATTTATCTAAAAAAATAGCGGTCAGAAATTGTTGTAAATAAATTTGACCAAGAATGGTTCGGAAATTGCATCAAAAAAGAAATATATAAATTCTATAAAATTTAATCCTATACTTTGTCACACTTTTATATCCGTTATCGAATGGACTTTCACGTGTGAACGTTTGCTTAAGATAGCGGCGCCTTTTTCGAAGCCGGGACACCGATTTATTTGCGCGACGCGTATCGCACGATCCCGCGAAATTGAATCGCGCGCGCGTTCGCTGTACCGCGACGCGATCGGATTCGGGCGATACCCCAGCATGATATCAACGGGGGTATTGTTGTCATTCGGATGTAATTTACTCGTGTGGCCGAGCTCGAAAGTTGCGATGGTGCGTTGACGTTATCGTATATTGCGTCGGGGCGCAAACGTTCGATCTTTGTTTCCTGTGGCGTCGACGAGCTTTAAAAATCGCGTATTGCGTTAATTACGGCCGTTACGTTTGTATGCTTTGAAAGTGAATTCATTACGGACAATTTTGGGATATCGGTATTTCATTTGCAATGACATAAAGCTCGAACAAATTACAATACAAAAAGACTTGAAATGTGAAAAAAGAATTTCACGCGATTAATTTTAAGAGAAACTTTTAGCAATCT